TTTTTTTTGTAAAAAATCATTCGTTAAATGTTTCACATCGTTGTCGTCGTCGTCGTCGTCATCATCGTTATCATCGTTGTTTTTGGATAATAATTTTCTTCGATCATCCATCTCTCTCACTATCGCATTTTATTCTTATTACACATAAAAGTATTTGTTCTTCCCCCATTCTGTTTTATTCATTCAAGATTTGTCTTGCGTCGCAGGGAGTAGAGAAATTTTGTATCGCGTTGAACTGCCCTATATGGAAGAACTGACATTAGTTTATCTGGAAAAGGAGTACGTTGATGATGAAAATTGTGACGAGCTTTGTAAGTTGAGAAGGAATAATTTAGATGAGAAAGTTTCGTTCGAAATTGAAATTAAAAAAAGAAAAACCAAAAAATTAAAAAATATTACATAAACGAAAGAAGAAAAAAAAAATACAAACAAGATGCAAGGAACGAACAAATGTGTGAGCAGGAGTGCAAATAGCAAAAACAATAGATTGTAGGACGACTAATTCGAATTTTGAATTAATATTGATCCCTGTTGTTTTCTTTCTTTCTTTTTTTTACTGTTATTTCTCTCACATTATCTTCCGGTTCCTTCTAATCATTGACGAATAAAAAAAATTGCCTTCTCTAAAAAAATCAAAAACGCTTCGCGCAAATACGACAGTCGCGACACGTGCTTTTTCGTTATTTTATCCCTAGTGTTTTGTTATTTTCATTTTGTTTCTATAGAAATATATATATGTGTCTGCAACTAATACTCTCACGCAAAGAAAAATTTTATCAAAGATCGTTGCAACGCGATTATGTGAAATAGACGTCATTTCGTTGGTGAGGTTTTTTTGAAACTTCTTATAACAAAATTTATCATTTCTCCAGTTATATATATACGTTATATATTTTTACAAATTAATTTGAAATTTATTTCTACTTTGCCAAGAAGTGACGTCAATCTTGTACAATTAGATTGAAAAACAAAACGTACAAAGTAGACACGAACATTAAGTATACAAAATAACAAATGTAAATCCTATTTAGAAATAGAGCAACAGCTAGATATATAAATATTATATATCAATATATATATTCTATATACTAACTCATCATTGAGCCATTTTTTAAAGATTTTGTAGCTATTTTTTAAATAGTTTTCTAAGCTGGCTTAGCTGTTTCTCTTTTTTCTTGCTTTTTTGTGTTTATTACTCAGTCGCCGGAGCGCATGAACTTAGCTCGTTTAATAGAAAAGAAATTAAATGAAATATTAAAGAATGACGCTATACTGCGGTTGTGCATTTAAAAAAAAAAATAAAAAAGAAATAATAAGTATCCGTAATTAAAAGAAATAAATATTATTTTACCAATAAAAAAACAAATAAAAATAAAAACAGCGGTGTGTATAAAACTTAAAAAAAGTAAAAGACAATCCAAACGCTCGGAAGGATATTCTTCGTTGACTCGAGTAGTGAACGAACTTTCAAAACGCTTATGTTGGTTTGTTTTACGTTTCGTTTAGTTTCTTTTTTTCTTCTATTTTTTTTCTTCTTTTTGGTTTTGTTGTTGATCTGTTCTGTTTTCATTTCTTTTGTGGTTTTCCTTTCCCTTTTCACAAAAATCAGATTTTTTTTTCTTTTTTTTGCAAACGTCGGTGCGAAGTTTTACTAACAGAATGAATTCAGCTTCGATTTTGATAGTTCTTATCGATGATTTAGATTGACAGGAGGTACTTGTTATTACAGGCAGCGAAGAGAACGTACTCTCGTACGAACCAGTTCAACAACTCACCATTCAGTATACGCGTCCGGTCATCATTTTGGGAGCTCTTAAGGATACTATCAACGATGACCTCATAAACGAATTTCCTGATAAATTTGGCAGCTGCGTACCTCGTAAGTATAAACACAAATAATGAAAATAAATTCTTAAAAATATTCGGATTTTATGTTTATTACCTATTTTTTACGTTTGGATAAAACATAAAATGGAACCCCGAATACTATAATCCCAATATTCATTATTTTATTAAAATTATAGACTATCTAATTAGTAATCTCAAAATTTATTAATGATTTATATTGAAAAAATTACATACTAGTATTTTTAATATATATAAAAGTAATTGCAGCTATTATTGGGTTATTCAAATAATAATTTTATTTCACGTGTTTAATGATATGTCAGATCAAACTCTAAATCTCTAAATCATTTTACCATATTAATAGCAGACAATTCAATTGCGATTTAGAACCTTTTTGTATTTCGATTTATCAAGCAGTTTTTTTCTTTATTTGACATTCTATCAAAAATGAAAAATTGTAAGTTAGCATTTTTGTAAGAATTTTGCTTTTTTTTATTACCGTAAGGGTAATAATGCAGTGCAAAGGGAAAAGAAAATTATGCACCATTTACAGATGGTATATATCAAATGAAAAAAATTTTAAAAAATCATCTTTTATTAATCACCGAAAGAATAAAATTACTTTCCGAATAATCTAATATAAAATATTTTATTTAGAAATAATGATTTATATCATTGGCCTACCCATCAATAATATTTTAATTCATGAATAATATTATTAATAAAATTGTATTTTTTTAGACACGACGAGGAGTAGAAGAGAAAACGAAGTGGACGGACGAGACTATCACTTCATTGCATCCAGAGAACAAATGGAAAGAGATATTCAAAATCACTTATTTATAGAAGCAGGACAATACAATGACAATCTTTATGGAACGTCTGTTGCATCTGTTCGAGAGGTTGCCGAGAAGGTATTACTAATTTACTATTTACACAACTGATTAATTTTAATTACAATCTATTTTATAACACAAGAAAATATATCGACTAATTCCGATATTATATTTTCCTTTTATTTTATAATTATTTTATTTTCTTATTTTTTTTTGCAGAGAAAGCACTGTATTCTTGATGTCAGCGGAAATGCTATCAAGAGGTTACAAGTAGCACAACTTTATCCTATTGCCATATTCATAAAGCCGAAGTCAGTCGAGTCCGTAAAGTAAGTAAAATCAAATCTCTTACCAAGTAGACAAGTATTGATTTTCTATCAAAAAGGTTAGTGCCTTATTATCAATTTATTTCTTTTTCTTGTCCCATAGGGAAATGAATAAAAGAACGACCGACGAACAAGCTAAGAAGACTTACGAACGTGCTCTTAAAATGGAGCAGGAGTTTGGGGAATACTTTACTGGTAGGATACGCTTATTCCAATATAAAATATTTTCTTCTTTCTAAAAGAGAAAAAAAATTGTCTTAAAAATTACATGCTACACTTAACCTCCTTATATAACACTGTTACGGTTTCCATGTAACATGAATTTTTCAATCATACCTTTATGTTTCATTATTACACGTAGTGTTAAGGATGAATTATTCATGTTATAGGAGGAGATTTAGTGTACATATTGTGAAAATAATTTCTTATAAATTTCTATATATATAAAATTGATATTTTTTAGCCGTCGTACAAGGAGACACACCAGAAGAAATCTACGTAAAAGTAAAGGAAGTAATCTCCGAACAAAATGGACCCAACATTTGGGTACCTTGTAGGGATCAGCAACTGTGACGTCCTGCCCCCCACGCCCTCCCTGGCCCCAATGCTTGGACCCTACCTCCAAGGCGTCAAGCTTAATTGATCTTGATAAAATAATTAAGTAACATTCTAACGCCTTCCCCCCCATCTCCACGATATCCACCCACCTGAGTAGCACAATGTCGTAGCTCTAATAATGGAGAAAAAGAATGCGAGAATAGAGCGTAATAAATGTGAATAAAAAGCTGAGCCGTATATTGAGAAAAATAGAAGAAGAGGAGAAAAGAAAATGAGGATGACGAAGAAGACGAGGATGATAATAATACAAAATTCAAAAGAGGAAAAAATATAGTAGAAGCTTTGTGGAATTTGTCTGAAAAAAAGTAAATATAATAATAATAATAATAATAATAATAATAATAATAATAATAATAATAGTAATAATAATAAAGAATTGCTTAAAGGAATTTTAAAAATGAGAAGTAAAGGAAAAAAAATATAATATAATGTCTATATGTACCGAGAAAGACTTGCTGAAATTTTCACTCCGTTGTCAAAATCCCTCTCTTGATTTAGACGAATGAGGAAAAATAAATAAATAAATAAATAATCGTATGTCGCGTGCGGGCGCGCGCGCACTCATACGTACTCAGGAACGTATGCGTCTCCAAATGATGAAACTTAAAACAAATAAATAAATGATTGCAATCTTTGATCGATCGATAAGCGCGTTTATTGTGTGGTAATTCGTCGATTGATGTTTAAGAAAGTCAATCGTGTACAGTTCAGATTAAAAACCGCTATTCGATAATCGACCAAATCAAAAACAAAAAATTATGCACTCACGCGCGCGCGTGATAATATGATACACAATGTGAAGCGCAAAACAAAGTGAAACGAGTAAGTAAAAATGAAAAAGAAAACGTAATGAAGTAAGTAATGCTTTTCTAGGCGACGAAACGTGAAGCGAAACATATTTTTTGTTTTCTCGCTGTTAAAAAGAAAATTAATAAAAGAAAAAAAGAAATATGTCACGATCGTTCAAAAAATACGCACAGCATATTGTCGTAGGGAGTCTGCTTTTAAACGTTATTAATTTATTTTACTATTCTTAAATACTTTCTATCAAATTTTTATGTATTTTATTTTTTTGTCTTTTAAAGTACTTGAAACTAAATGATTTGAACCATTGCTCAACTTTTGGGCAACGCGGCTGTCAACGTATTAAAAAAAAAAAGAAAGATGAACAATTGTCGAGAATAATTTAAAAAAAAGAAAAAAAAAATAAGAATCTTTGTTGAGTCGTGTATACGATTACAGATGCAAAGCATCTCTCGATATAGAGATAAACAAATAATAATTTACAAAATGGTGGTGATGGGGGGTGGAGTCATAATTCGAAATGATCGACTTTCCGAACCGACGACCACACGCAAACACTATGTAAGCTTCACCGATTATATTCGAGCGATGTAGCGGTATTTTTTAATGTACTTAATCGCAATAGTGCGAAAATCGAATATGAGGAGGAGGAGGAGGAGGAGAAATAGGAGGAAAAGTAGAAAGAGAAGGAAAGAAAAAGCGATAAGGAAAAGTAAACAAAAATAAATTACTTATTTCTTATCGAAAAACGTGATGATAATGCATAGCGAATGAGAAAAAAAATTTTTTTTAAATGTATAAGAGAATGAGTAAGAAAGAAAAAGAGAGAAAAAGAGAGAAGCACGTTGATTTAAAGTCTCGCGATAAAAATGCGTGCAAGACAAATTGTGTTTCGATTGTTGCGAATAATTCGGTTCGTGTAGATTGCAAATATATATACATATATATGTATATTATATAAAGAGTGTGAGACTGCGTAATAAAAAAAGACGATTTAATGAATTATTCGGTTCGACTTCTTCCTTTTCCGGTCATTTATTTGTCATTGAAATAAATAATATCTATTATGTTGTGTGAAATAAATAATTCATAATAATACAGTAGAATAAATTTTATTTAAATTGTGACGATGTAATAATAAACTAAACAAATCTGATTTTAAAAAATTGATTCCATCTTCCTATTGTGCGATAGTAATAAATAAATGATCGAGAGGAAGAATGCGGAATAATAATTATAATAATAATTATATTAATATTAATAGTAATAATAATAAAAATAATAATAATAATAAAATTAATAATAATAATAATAAAAATAAAATTAATAATAATAATAANATAATAATAATAAAAATAAAATTAATAATAATAATAATAATAATAATAATAATAATAATAATAATAATAAGAAGAAGAAGAAGAAGAAGAAGAAATATTATTTGGGACTCGTCGTGTCTCTTAAATAGAAATATTACGATGATCTACGCGTACGTCGAAAAAAACCTCACACAGGACAAATCTTCTAGATGCTAGAATTTAGCGATATATAATGTTTTGTACAGCTAGATGACTAAGCCAGTACTGGGTTATGTGCAACATTATATAGATGAAAAGAAAAAAAAATGATTAATAAGAAAAAAATAAAGAAGCAAAAAGAGAAGAAAATGAAAAAAAAATAAGTCGACGAGAGATGAGATATGAGAGATATGAATTTATGAAACGAAAAAAAAAGAAGATATACTATTGTAATTTAAAATGCCACACTACTACTAAATTATTATTACGAATAGTAGGTATGTATTATTGTAAATACCTATTTACACGATGATCGAGATCGAGAGTAATTATAAGTGATAATGAAAATTGATCCAACATAAGTGAGTAAAAGCGAGGATTCTCGATCGTGAAAAACAAACAAAAAAAAACACAAGGAAAAAAATAACGTCGAAATGAACACCCTCGATAATTGTTGTGTATGTAACTCGCAAAGATGAAAGAATAATAGTATGCCAGTATAAGGAGGGAGGGTGAAAGAGTGAGAGGTGAGGGGGTGATCAACTAGAAAAAGTTATAAGCAAGCCGTTTTGAAAATAAGAGATTTATCTTTAACAACGCTTCTCGGTGTATGATTGGTTACGTTCCTCCTAATTGATTTGTTCTCGTGAATTATCGTGTACGTTTTAAATGACCGATAATCGTGTGTAACGAAGAATATACTGATATATAAAACGAAATGTGAACGAGATTTAAAGCGAAAAAAAGGAAAAGATAATGTGTAACTTAGAAAAATAGAGAGATGAAACAGACAGTATATATTTGATCGCGAACTGTACTTACGTCGATAAAAGAATTCCGATATACATAATTAAGAAACTGGTTGAGGGTGTAATAAAAAATATTAGAACGGAAAGAAAGGAAAGAAAAGAAAGAAATAAAGAAGGAAGAATTAAAAGAAAAAAAAAATAAGGAAGGCAGCGTGATCGAAATTGTTAGACAAGCTGTTAAAACAAAACAAAATAAAAATATAATAAAAGTAATACCTACACAAAAAAATGAAATAAATAAATAAAATAAAATAAATAAAAAGCAAGTCGAAGATCGTCGATCTAAATGTAATATAACTAATAATCGTGTAACGTTACAATTTGTATCGACTACTATGCACGGTGATTACACGTTGGTCCTTTTCCATTCGACCATAATAATAATAATAATATTAATAATAATAATAATAATAATAATAATAATAATAATAATAATAATAATAATAATATTAATAATAATAAATATCGTCGTGAAACGGGAACGATAGAAAACGCGCCGTCGATCCTTAGAAAGATGAAGAAGAAATAAAGAAAGGAAGACAGTAACAGAAAAAGAGAAAATAAAACACAATTAGCCTTTGTTATCGCGTAGAGAAATAAAAATAAATAAATAAATAAAATAAAATAAAATAAACAAGCAAATAATAAAGAATAAAATAAAATAAAATAAAATGAAACGACTGATTTTCGTTCGCTTTTCTTTTTTACACGCGCGAACGAGGATTTGGTGACGTTATCGATCTATGTGCGTTTATCGCGAAAGTATTATTATTAATTATTAATTATTAATTATTATTGTTAAGAATGGTGTCGCAAAAATGTTAAAAGGGTTAGGAGGAAAGAAGTTAGCGATTAAATGAAAGAAAGATAAAAAGGTAAATTAAAATAATGATGGGTGGTAAAAAGGGAAAGAAAGATGGAGAATAACTAGGTCGAGAAGAAAAGCATCACTGTATATTCCGTGCTGGTTGTGTCAAGAAGAAGACATTGCAGAGCCAGGCTTCAATCGAGTAAAGTTGTCTGCCTCCATGTAAAGGAACGTATTAAAAGAATAATCACTACCGACACTTATTATACACCTCTATAGTCTATTTAATAATATTACTTATTGAATTGTCAATCTCATGTTCACCTTGTTTCATCGTTTTTAAATAGTTAATAAACGTTTTACCAATTTTAACTATGCCTTTTATTATTATTATTATTATTATTATTATTATTATTATTATTATTATTATTATTATTATTATTACCATTATAAATATTCATTCTCACGTTAATTCTTTGCTTTCTCTTTATCATCATTATTATTAACCGATTTATTTAACTTACCAATAATTATCTTAAAGTATTACTATACTTTATTACTTTTTCTTCCTACTTTTTATTTATTTATTTACTTTTATATATATATATATTAAACAGCCTAATTAAACGGGACGACGGAATGAAACGACACATCGGTAAAAATACTTGTTTTTATTACATCGATAGGATAAGATGTTACTGTTTATTTATTTAGCGAAAAAAATCACAAGTTTTATCTGCTTTTTTTCTTGTTTTGTTTTTTATTTTTTGCGTTCTTCTTTTTATATTTTTCCTTCTAAGAAAATTATTAGTCAAATCGTCACTGATTTTGTTCCGAGGGAAACAACGACGACGACGACGACGATGACGATAAATTAGTGGCAAATAGTACTCGTATTTTCCCTTATCCAATTATTTTTTCTTTTTGCTCATCTTTACACGAATCACAGAAAAACTCTAATTTACATCTCTCGCATCAACTGAGAACTTAAAGTTTAGAAATAAGATATATGTATATCATATATATAATATATATTGTATATTGTATGTAATATATACCATATATATATTATATAAATAGTATATATATACACATATGTATTAATACGTTGTTCATTTTCATATATATATAAACATACAATAATTTTCACTTTAGTATTATTTGTTATCTTCCTATGCAAAGCATTAGCATTAAAACATTTAGAGAATTTGCCAAATATGCATATATATATATATATATATATATATATATATATATATATATATATGTATTTGTATAATTATGTGTGTATGAATATGTAATGTGTATATAAATTACAAGGGGAAACGTTACGACTAAAAAAATGTACATCCATAGTTAACTATTTTTATGTATATATCATACAATAAAAAAGCGGATAGTTTGTAGTTATAGAAGTTAATATATAGTAATCATCGTGGTGTGTATTTTTTCTTACTTTTCAATCCTTTATATGTACGTATTCATATGCGCGAGCGTGCGTACATATATCGCTGTTTATCTGTATGAGTGTATTATCTGTTTGTGAGCGCACGTGTATGTAGGTATATATATATATATTTACGTGTTCTTGTACATGCGTATACGAAGTTATATATTTACATACGCAGACTATCGAGACACTGCATCCTATGGTAATAGTATTATTATTTTTAATATTACTACTATTATTATTTTTATTTATCATTATATCAATATCATTATATTATTACTATTCATTTTTATTATTATTATTTTTTTTTTATTTTTATTATTCGCTTTGAGTGTGTGTTTATTGTATGTTTTTACGATTATAAACTACATAACACAGGGTATGCTTTATTACACACACAAGAGCACGTTATTATATTATAAACAATTATCATGACTACTTACAACTGTCGCTTCTACTTACATTAAAAGTTATACATATACAGTACGTACACAATTTTCTTCTTATCATTCTTTCGATTTTACACAACAACAAGTCGATGCGAAGTAAGAGCTGGAGAGTGGAGCAATAGATAATGGGGGAGGGTCTATTTTATATATATATATATGCGAGGATGATGAGAAAAAGAAGGTAGAAGGCGGTGGAAGGGAATAGCTGGGATTCTAAATGCTCCGAAAGATTGTTTATTGAAAATAGTTAATTGTTTATTTACAACTATAGATCGCATCGTTTTATGTACGCGTGTGTGTAGCGCATGTGTTTATTTCTATTTTTCTTTAGTTTTTCTTCTTTCTTTCTCTTTTACTACCGCCCCTCTTCCTTCCTATTTTTCTTTTTTTCTTATCGTCGAGAGATTTGTCGGTTAAAATAAAATTAAAAAGATAATTCACCCGTAAGTAATTTTATTTTCTCACGAGCGTAAATTTAAAAGGAATAATTTATTTGTCAACTAATTATTATATTTTATGTCGAATATATTAACACGCTAAGATCATTAGATCGTCGTAATGTTATTACCACTATTTCTTTCTTTTCCAATCAATTGATTTGTTTTGTTAATCTGGTTTTGTTTGTCTCGTGTTGTTTTACTAACCGAGTTCATGCACGCGTCCTCCGTTGCTACAATTTTCCCTGAGACTGATTTATAAACGATTGAAATCCGTATACAATGACAAAAATGCAACAAAGGACGTAGCTTGATAATTTGATTTATATATAATTTCAAAAAAGATATTTTATGGGCGAAAAACTTTCTCTATCTCTCTATCTTTCTCATATTTTCTACTTTTACTTTCTCATATGTGCCCATATAATTATGAAAGCGTTCTAAGTCAAAATTAAAAAAGAAAAATCAATTTATTAGTAATTTTACATCATACATTATTTTAAAATAAATTAATTCAATATAATTGTTACAATATTATCAAAAATGAACCGTCAAGTAGTGCTTGTTCCCTAGTAGCATAAAATATTGAAAAATATTGAATATATGTGTATTTAATATTAAAAAGACATTGAATCTCTTTTTAATATTAAATACACATGTATTCAATATTTTACAATATTTTGTGCTACTAGGGTTATTTCAACATTATATTGAATTCATTTATAATGTTCAAATGTAATCCTTTAAACATCTCGAAACAAAAGATATTATATGACTTACATTAGACCACTTTCATAATTATGGAAACCTATATTACGACGATTAATGATTTTAAATAAATTTTAATTGTGTTTTCTCTTTAATAAAAAGATTTAAAAAAAAAAGAAAAGAACAGAAAAGAAAAGAACAGAAAAGAAAAAAAGATAAGTAAATTTGTTGTTTACAATGGGTTTAATTTGCGAAGAAATTTATAATTTATAATTAACAAAACTGAGTTATCATTTCTTCTTTTTTTCTTTTTTTTTCCTTTTTTTTTTTAAATTGCCTTAAGACAAAAAATATGATTTAATAACATCTTAAAAGAAAGTAAATTCTCCCAATAAATAATAAAAAAAAAAAATGAGATGATGTTAAACATAGTTGTTAATGTAAATCGAATTGATCGTTGTAATATCCTTTGATGTGATTATTTAATATAGGATTTTTTTTTCTCAATCTATAAAATCAAGCCGACGATATAAATCTTTAAATTGCACTACCCAACTTAATAAATGCGATTTTATGCACCACTAAAAAATCGCTTTCTAATTTATTCGATTGACCGATAACTGCTTGCGATTTTTTTGTTAATTATTTACTTAAATAGAAAAAAAATCATATCAGTTTATTGGCCAACCTAATATCATCTATAACAAAAAAAAAAAACGTTTAGAGATCGTAACATCTCTATGTTTAAATATATATATATAAACGCGAATACGTAYATATTATTTATTAACTGACGTGTAAAACACGTTGACAAAAAACAATAAAAAAAACAAAACCTTGAATAAAGATTTAAACTAATAATATAGAAGTGGTAACACCGTCCGCATTAGATTCAAATTCACATAACGTGTAAACTATATACAATATATAATATAGTGTATCATTTAAACTTAACTTACGTGTTAAAAAACAAAAAGAGAAAGAAACAACAATTTAGGAACAGAGTATCAATATATCGGAGAACAAATTAAAAAAAGAAATTAAAAAAAAAAGTAAAAAGAAAAAAAGTAAAATAAAATAAAAAATAGGGACGAGTTATTAGAGTTTCCTTCAACGATGCGTAAATATGTGTGTACGATAATCAATAGGAATAAAATAAAAAAAAAAAAAAAAATACTGTTTCTACATCGTGTTCTCTCGATCGACGATAAAAATTTTACGCTTTGCTTGCTACGTGAGTGCGTGCTTGCGTGAGTACGTGCGTGAGTGTGTGGTGCGTGCGTCGTCGTTGTTTCATAAGACACGAGAAACAATCGAATTCTATAATAAACGCAAAATTCGTGCCCCATACGAAGTTTCGGTCGGATCACCTTAAACCACAATCGAAGCTTTGATTAATTATTATTATTATTATTATTATTATTATTATTATTATTATTATTATTATTATTATTATTATTATTATTATTATTATTATAACTATTAATATATTATTATTATTAAGATTATTATATAATATTCTAAAAACTTAAGCTGTCATTATTCAGCAGTTATTTCAATCATTGCACGTTTATTAATCGATTTACTTTATAGAGTAATTCGATTTAAATATATTTGTCTTTCTATTTTTTTTCTTTTTAATTCATTTTTTTTTATTACTTATCTCGACGAAAACCTCGTATAACACGCTAGAAAACGCTGTCCCATTTTAAACTCTTTCGATCTTTCTCTCTCTCTCGCGTTCTAACAATACACTTTCACTTTTTCTCATTTTCATTTCCTTTCACTCATCCTTTTAATTATAAGTACACATTCAATTCTAATCGTATAAGCACAACGGGGACAATATAGTTAATTAATTAAAAAATTAAATCGATCGACAATGATTTTTGTTCCTAAAATAAAGAATAATAATAATAATAACATGACCACCACAATGTAAATTAGCCGATATACGAAAATCGACTAACATTTTTACACGAACATCATCTGGCTGTTAATAAAATATGATCGTTCTATTTTGGACATATACGCGCAGCAACGCGCCCGCGCGCGTATATATCCCAATAAATATATACTACTAATACAATGTCACAGGTAGCCGTAATTTGTTGTTGCTGCTCATCATTTCTCAAACGTTTTATATCGCATATATTATTTCTATATATCTTATATAATAATATGTAGAGTTCGATCTTGCAACGCGTTATGCAAATCGTCATCTTGTTTGTTATATATATATAATATATGTATGTATATCCGTAAAATATTCACGCCATATTAACTCTAATCTCAAATGGGTGTGTTGTTTTCTTGTTGTTCCTTCAGCATTACTCACTCTCCCGTCAAATATCGATTGATCAAAGAGAAGAGGCTTATGAAATCGATATATCACATGTAATATTATTTAATAGAGTCAATAGAGTACTGCTCAATAGTATTCAACGTGCTTCCGACGAACGTGCTGTTGTTGCTTCTTTGGAATTAGATCCACGAATCTTCGGTCGTCCGTTGGTATTTTTTTTCATCTCTTTTGTGTCGGAAGTCTTGCTTTCATTTTTTCTCGTTGGATTATATTTGTTTGCGAGAAAGGAGGAGGTGGAATGGGAGGTAGAAGAGAAGGATAAAGAAGAAGAAGAAGAAGAAGAAGAAGAAGAAGAAGAAGATGACAAAGACGATGATGATGATGAGGAAGAAGAAAAGGATGTGGATGGTTTTTCCTGAGGAGATTCCCTTCCCCTCAGTGGTGGTTCCTGTCACCTGAGACTGATTAGCACCTTTTCGACGTTTAACAATGACTTCACCTTCTCGTTGTACTTTATCAATGTCACCTTTGATCCCCGCACGTTGATCTTCTCTCCACCACTTAACAAATGACAACATCGTGATTGTTCTAAGAAATCGGGAAGTTTTAATTCTCTCATGACGTCACGATGAGCAATAGTAGGTGGTCCAGTATGGGCCTTAGGATTAACTTGACGCAAGAGAGCATCGCGACTCTTTATCCTGAGAGCTGCCATTAAATCTTGAAGGAGCACCCACTTGTCCGAATCGTTGGCAAGAGAAAACAGGACTGGTAGGTTAATATCGCTCACCTCCATTTCTATCTCCTCAAGCTCGGGTTTTGGACTGTCCATGGGTGGATCGCTTAAAGGGTTATATCCAGTTTCTTCGGGATCTATAGATGAAAAGGAAGTAAACACTTTTGTTTTTCTTAAGTTGTCTGATTAAATAATGAAGAGAATCCTACAATAACTTACCAAATATCGAAGCAGGTCCACCGAACGACCAAGGCGTACTGGTACGTCCTTGAATGTCGTCCAAGTGTTGTTCCAGGATCGTATAAGCTTCAGTTTCTACTGCTAACATTAATGGTGTTTGTCCAGAATATGTGGCTAGGAGAGGATCCGCACCGTATGATAAAAGTAATCGCACCAGCTCCGTTGAACCGCTTTCTGCAGCCTCGTGAAGTGGTCTGTTTGTAATTAACCACGAATGTTTTAATTAACGATTGTCGTATATTTATAACATAAATTTTTTGTTTTCACTTACGTATACTTCACATTGCTACCAACCTTATTCCTCCGTTTGCACTTTCGCTTGCATTCGCTCCGTAAGCGAGCAAAAGTTTAGCTATTTGCAAGTGACCTCTCGAGCATGCTTCGTGAAGTGGCGTATACCCAGCGTTGTCTTTCGGACTAGGTGCACTGTTGAGTTTCTCCAAACAGTAGGCTGTCACATCCTGCATTGACACAATTATTAAGAAGTTCAAAAAAAAACAAACGAGATAATATTACAAAAAAGAAATAAACAAACTTTAACCTACCGTGTGACCGAGTCTAGCAGCACGATGTAAAATAGTTTCTCCAACACCCTTTTTAATGACCCACGTCCTGATCTCTGATTGAATGTCCGCAACACATTCCGGACTTGGTCTTGACAATATCTGCTACGAAAAAAAGATTAATGGTCACTATGAACAAAACGATCTATAATACGAAAAAAATAGAATAATAACAAAATAGAAAAAAAGATCTACATACTCTTTTTCGTTCTTTAGGTGCTGCGTCATCCTTTTTCAATGGTCTCTTTTTCTTTCTGACATAGTCGAATCCAGAACGGAATTTCCGCCTACCGGTTCGAAGTTTTAACTTCTTTTTGTTATTCGGTACCTCGGACTCGTTATTTTCGTCCTCTATTTCGTTATTCTCAGTTTCCTGATTATCGTTCGTTTCTTTCACCACTTCCACTTCCGTTTCCTTTTTAACACGCTTCAACTTCTTTTCGGTCAAAGACTTAAAAAGATCTTTTCTTCTCTTCGATTTAAGTAAATGTCTTTTCGAATTGACGATTGCCTTGTGACTTCTTAAAATTCCCGCGTTTCTTAATCGAGACACTACCTTTTGTTTCAAAGTACGTGGTTTTCCTATCGTATTTTCTACAGTTTCGTTTTGTGAATCATCGTCCTGTGAAGTGTCACCATGATTTTGCATAGGTGGAGCGGAAGCTGGCCTATCTTCGCCGAATACTTCTCTGATAGTAGTCTGTTTTTTTAAAACACGCGTTTCCGTTCTCGTTCTGCTGTTCAAAACGAAAGTCGAAAATTCGTTCGGAATCGCGTGATTATTCTTGAACGTATCGCGGAAATTATTAACCGTTTCTTTACGGAAATATCCTAAAAGGAAGGAATCCGAAACTTTGATCGGTTTCAAAGATTTATTCTTAACTAGTGACGACTTGCCTTTCTGTATTTTCGGAGCTTCTGACGCAAGAAGAGGATTAAGACTTGGCGTTGGAAGGAGTTCGGGTTCGTTGTTACTTTTTTGAAGGATCTTCGTTGTTCCTTTCTCTTGTTTGTCCTTGTTTTGTTTTCTCTTCGAATCCTTTTTACCAGTACCAACTCTTTGGGCAAGTACATCTACGATAGAATTGTTTTCCAATTTCCCACTTTTCGTCGTTGTTTTTGGTGGACAGGATATTGTAGTCGAGGAAGTTGCTTCTTCGTCATCTACCTTACTACCAAGTCCAGTAATACTGTAACTATATTCGGATTCTACGTCACTATCAACGAGTCTCTTTCTACCTAAACAAACGTCAGTACTATCCATAGACACTGATAACGCTGGTGAACCAGGATCCAAATCAGGAAGGGACGTTGATAACCTATGAAATCTCGAAGGTTTTGAGACTGTTATTAGTCTGGTTGGCATTCGTAAAGATTTTTTATAAACATACACCTCTTCTTCCCAACCTGGTCTAAAATCACTACCATCACCGAACAAGGGTTTAGGTTTTATTTTTCGAGACGAAGATACGGCCTTGGAAGAAGACGATTTCGTTTCTTTTTCTGTTTTATTCTTCTGAGGTGTTGTATCCCTCGAACGTAACTTCATGCCTTCGTTTTCTCCGCTATTACCTGATCTCTTTCTCGCTCGAAGTCTATCAGCAACGGTTGAACCATGTCCGTATTCTGTACTAACGTCACTTTCTTCGCTGGACGATTCACTACCACTAGATGAAGCTAATTTGATTCTACTACCACGTCGTACTCTCTTTTTCCTACAAATGATTTCCTCCTCGCCATCGCTATCTTCCTTCTTCGATTTCTTTTTCGTTGCTCGTTTGATCAATGGCACTTCGTCAGAATCTTCTCCAGACTGTCTTCTTTCATTTTCCTTTGAATCAACTATAACTTTCTTCTCTTCCTTACTCACTGGTGGTATATCCATCATAATGGGCTTTTTCTCATCATCTTTGTTATTTTCCGCGGGGTCGATCTTCTCAACGACAAGTGCTTCTACATCCTGTACCTCTTTTTTAATGTCTTCTATTTTGATCTTTATATCAGCAGTTAAGTCGCTATTGTTAAGATCGGATTCTTTGCTACTATCGTTACCAGTATCTTCTATTTTCGAAGAGGGTCCATCGAGTTTCCTTTTTCGTCCACGTTTTTTCACAGCATCTCCGGCTCGTAATTGTTCCATAAATTTGTCACAAGTTACCGTCCAGAATGGATCCACTTCGTTGATCTTGTCGTTTTCCTAAACATAATCGTAATGTTAATGATAATACAGTCAATGATTCGATTTATTACGGAGAAATTTGACGAAGTTTGTACAATTACCTTAAGTTCGATTTTCACGAGATCTATGGACGACGCAATATTCATATGCACTGCATCGTTCAAAGGAATAGGTGGTTGAACCTTCGACAACTGCTTCCTGTAACTCCTCATTTCCTCGAGGGTTTGACGCTCCAACACAGGCATCTCACCTTCAGAATCGCTCTCTCTAAAGTCAAAGACCGAGGTCTCGGAGGAACTTCGAAAACCACTGGCACGTGGTGGTACCGTAGAGGCAACTGCTGGCGTTGGAGTTGACACGGGTACTGTTGTCGCAGCGACCGGCATATTCTCTTCTTCCGTTTTCGAAAACAACCGTCTTCTCGGTGGAAGACAAGCTGCTTTTTCACGAGTTAATTTAGGAGGGCTTCCCGCGGATGAACCAGATTGCGGAGTTGACGTTGATGCTGCGCTATCGGGTTCTAAAATATATTTAAAGTGTTACAAGTATTTCATTGCATAAAACGAGAAACAAAAAAAAAAGAAAACAATGAATTCCTTTACCTTTTGGCGTAGAAGATACATCTTGCGAAGGAACTAAGGGTTTTGCCAAGAACTGCTCGGTGCCGACCTAATTCAATATAGTAATATCTTCTTAAACAGCTTAAACAATTGTACTATCATATCCGAAAAAAATGTTAGGAATATTTTAAATAAAAATACAAAAATATGTATTTACGAATATGTGTTATAAACACCTGAGTATATTTGACTAGACCAGTCACAATATACCTCACCTGTTTGAGTTCCGCTTTCGTCCTGATTTTAGCGGCCAATATGGCCGCAAGCCCGTCATCCTTGTCACGGTGAATTTGATTCTCGGCTCCCCGAGGTCCCAAGAGAGCTTCCTTGCCAGGTAGCGTGGCGGATGAATTTACTCGCGAAGCGTACATACTACGGGGGGCCTCTTGAGTGATCGAATCTACGGCCCGCGGCACATGGAACTTGTAATGCGGCGGTGTGTTGCTATTTCGTTCCAACAAACTAGCCGCTGTAAACGGTGATAGATTGTGTCTACCTATATTCGTTTTAGGCTCCACAGGGGCGACGACCTTTATTAAAACAAAAAGCAAATAAGATTAATTTCAACATTTGTTTTATGATTAGTTATAAACTACGAATAGATATATTAATAAGTTATCTAAACCTTATTCTGAAAGCTTTGTTGATTGTGATTCACCAAAATAGGTTGTAGATTGTTCAATTGTTCTTCCCTTTGTTGTTTATTTTCAAGACTATTTCTTAGTAAACTCAAAACACGTTTATCCGCACCCGTGTTACTCGGCTGATCGACCGGAGGTGAAGCCATCGCACTAATCGGAGGACAAGCGGTTCTTTGATTTTGTCTATAATTTGAGTAAGAAGTCTGACTATTGACTTGCTGCGGTAACGCGTGCACGTTCGATGTTTTCGAGATAGGTTGATGATTATACGGAGGAGAGGTACGCGCCATCTTCGGCTCTGAGTAATTCCTTTTATCACAGTAAACTTGTTGATACCTCAAAGGCGTCTCTGACATGAAAAAATTGTCTACTCTCTGTTGATTGTAAGTATTAGGTGCTATCATAGTACCATTAGGCATGGTAACAGGCAAATTCACCTCTTGCCTTTTTTGTTGCTCATGGGGCGGCTTAACTGTCGAGAGTTTTTGTTCGATTTGTTTATCGATAGCTATTCTCCAAGTATCCAATCTAGGCTGCTTATTCGGTGCAGTTCCAGGGTAAACAGTTTCACCGGATCTTTTAGTGGTAGAACGATGATCTTTCTGCACCAGCGAACTGAATTTGTTTCTCGAGTCTAAATAATACTTGATAGAGTCGGAAGGATGCTCTCCCATGGGAGGCAAGGTAGTCGATCCCATTTTTGGAGGATCCGCCACGGAATATCTAGACGAAGATCTCGAGGAATCATTGGCCGGTAGATAAGACGACGAAGACGGCGGCGGTGGTGCTGGGCTGCCGCCGTATATCGGCGTTGCGGGCAGTGAACTCTTCTGGAACGTTGATATATGAGGCAGTGGAGTAGTATTGTTCGTATATTGCGAGGGCAACGGTGCTTGGGGCGGTGGTGGTGGTGGCCCGTAAAGTTGTTGACCCATATTTCTACGAATGGGACTATCATGTGGCGGAGCGTGATGCTGCCTAAGTGGAGTCGAATTGAAATCCGGTAAGAAGTCGACCTTTGGTGCGCAAACTGTTTGTGGAGTGGACGTTCGAGGACATACGGAAGGAATGGACGAATTCCTGACGCCACGAGTCGATACTCTACTATCGTAATTAGAGTAAGCAGCCACGGGTGGTGGTGCTAAAGTTTGAACAGCTGGTGGAGCCATACTTCTTGCATTGCTGCTGCTACTCCTCGACATTGTCGACGTCGTCGACGACAGGGATGACATCGAAGACGATGGTGTTAGATTCAAATTAGTCGTATGCTTCTCCGTGGAAGAAGCCTCGAGATCATCTTGCGCCGTTGAATCCGCAGAAGTCTTTACGGTTTTTACAGAAAGATCGAGAGGAGATTCTCTTCTCCTTATACCATTAGTCTGCGGTAGTGGTGGTGCTGGTAATGGTGTACCTGGGACTGCAGGTATTATCGGTGCCGTAGAATTTTGATAAGGTTGTTCCTTGTACGGGTAACTCTCTGCAGTTCTGACAGTATGATGATAAGATCCCAAGTGGGCGGTTGTGTCGGAAGACTGATAGGCGTGTACCGGAGGAACTGGAACGGAAGATCGGACCGTGGCACCGATGGATGTCACCGAAGTGTTACTAGAGGAATTACTGCCGTGATGACTGGGTGCGATGGTGGTCGCGTAAGCTGGATAATTTTGCTGGTTAGGGTATCTACCGGAATAGGTAGAGTTAACCGAGCTAGTTGTTCTCCCATTAACCGGTATCGTATGATTCAACGGCGCAGGAACCGAAGGATAATCTGGAATCCTCTGGGGAAGAACCATAACCGAGCTAGGTGGTGTTGCGACTGGGACTTTGTTCGTTGAACCGATAGAATGCACTCGTCGTTGGATCGATTGCACTTTACTACCCGATTCTCTCTTGTTGGAATGATAAGAGGACAAGGTGACGATCGGTGGCAGATTGTGCGTATTATTGTTTCTTTGCACGCCCGTCGAGGATGTTCGATAAGAAGCGTAATTTCCAGCGATTTCCGCCGGATTTCTTTTCGTGTCGGCACCATTGTACATTACCGGTTTATTCTGTTGATAGTTCAAATCACTGTTGCTATTCGTTACACCGGAACAAATTGGTTGAGGTGGTGCTCCCATCGGTGTTGTTTGGACGTATGACTGGTTGTGAGATCTATTTGATACAGTGAAGTAGCTCCCATGCGACTAAGGATAGTAAATAACGAAAAAGATAAGAAAAAAGGTTAACTTCGAAGAAATCAAATAAGAAGATGTTTATGTAGATAAGGGTTCTTACCTGCGGCAGCGGCTGCTGCGGACTCTTTTGAAAGGAATGGTACGAAGACTGAGGTGGTGTCGCGTAAGGACTAGTATTGTATCCGGCATTCTGATAGTGTTGAGAGGTCGCCGACACACTGTAGGAGTGTGGCGTAGACCTGGCTGGTGGTGGAGGAGGTGGGTAAGTCGGCGAATGCGGTTGGAAGGCTGCGTGAGGGGAGGGTGTAGGATGAGGAGAGGAGGCGTGAGGATTATGAAGCGTCGATACGTGAGGAGATTGTCTGTGGGGTGACGGGGTGGCGTGACGAGGTGGCTCGTGAGGTGAAGCTATCGGATGATAACCGCTTAAGCCTGTAGGAGGTATCATCTGTTGCGGATGGTTGGACGATGAAGACGACGATGAGGATGGCGACGGTCCGCTTTGCGAGAGAATCGTACGAGCAGTGTAGACGTTTGGATTAGCTGAGTGAGGGGAAGGATTTATCCTAGTATGGTGTTGTTGGCCTTGCAGCTGCTGTTGTTGTTGTTGTTGTTGTTGATGATGTTGATGTTGTTGTTGTTGTTGTTGTTGTTGTTGTTGTTGCTGTTGTTGTAGTTGTTGTTGTTGTTGTTGTTGTTGTTGTTGTTGTTGTTGTTGTTGTTGTTGTTGCTGCTGTTGTTGTTGTTGCTGCTGCTGAGAGTGTTGTCCATGAACGGAGGAAGCTGCGGAGGGAAGATGCGGAGAAGGAATGTGCGCCGGAAGATTCTGAGGCGATGGAGGAATGTGACTGGATCCGTGACGCGGATTGCAAGGAGGATTTCCCGAAGTGCAAGGGTTGCCAGCAGAGGAGTTGTTAGAGTTCGAGGAGGAGGAGGAGGAAGAGGATGACGACGAAGGCGCACTCGTTCCTTCGATACCATATTGAGGTGGCCTGATTCGTTCGTCGATCGTCGGATTAACGGGCCGAGTTTGCTGAAGTTGCCCACTTACGCGATAATTTTGAGGCGATACGTAACCACCACCGGTCGATCCACTCGGCGGAGTTTGTACGCTAGATCCATAAGAAGGGTTCGGCACTCGTTGTTGATCTTGTCCATGAACCAACACACTATTCTGTTCGACCGGCGTAGGCCTTGTAGCCGGTTGTTGAACGCTTCCAGCCGTAGTAACCGCCACATTGGCAGATTGATAGACGGAATTTTGCGAGAATGGTGCCGGTGCACTCTTCGTAATATCCGGATGATGATATCTTGGATAATATTGTGTTCTTTGCGCGACGATGGTCGTTCCACTTTGCGAAGACTGTCGGTCATTTGCGGATTGATAGTTCGGATGGGACGACGTCGAATGAGATGTCGCTAAAATCTCCACGGTGGCAAATGACGTCCTACTGATACTATTGAGTTGTTGATAAACAGGTTCAGGAGAGATATCTTTTTTAGGTGGTTGCAATTGATGTAATCTAGGTGAACTCGAGGTAGTCGTAGCTGTCGTCTGATGGGACGAGTGTTGTTGTTGATCGGTGGACGCGGAAGATACGGACGATTGGTTTTGTTGTTGAAAGTTGGATGTCGCTGAGGATCGATGACTGGAGGAGGGTTGCATCTCGGTTAGTGTTACTACAGTACCAGGAGAGGAGGAACTCGGTTCGGAACTTTCGTCACCGGGCCTGGTATCCGGTACCTCCACCCTAGTTGGTTGCGGTGGATACGGTTCCATCGATGGATTCCAAAACGTACCGGAACTCGAGCTTCCGTTTTCGGTAGACGAGGACTGACCGACGTCACTTGAGTAACGTGTTGTTTCTTGATTAACCACCGACGACGTCGACGAGGAGGACGGCGGTGGTGGTGGCTGAGCCACCGATGAGGAACCCACGCCATGATCGTGTGACGTGGATGCCGACGATGCCGAATTCGTCGACGAGGTTGGATGATTTTGATCCTCCAACGGTATTGCGCCTGTACTGGGTAGAGGCAGTCCCTGGAAGTACTGACGAGCCCCCTCCAACACGTTCGTGAAGCTCACATCCATGTCACGCCAACTGCTAATCTGAAAAATATCAAAACACATTTCTATGTAAAAACAAATTTTACGATCGTCGTCAATAATCATCGTTGTAACAATATGTCAGTAATTACATTGACGGAATGCAATTACGTTCGTGGACTTAAAAGAAAATACACTGTCCTCGGAGATTAGCAAAAGATTCGTTCGCACGAAAAGTAACGAGAGATACACCGAGGGAGAGAACAAGGCCGAAACATTAATCTTCATTGTCTTATATTTGTCCGTTATAATATCTCCCCTCTCTTAACCCAACCACCCTCGGTGTTCTCTCCCTGTCCTTTCTCTTCTTTCGTAATGTTGTTAGTCGTTCGTGAGGGATCCTCTTGTTATTAATTGAATTCGAAGTTATTCAATTGTTGTAATGACGATAGATTTGTTAAAGTTTCTTTAGTCATCCAAAGAAGAAATATCAAATGAAATAATATCACGATCGAGAAATTATCCCTTGAATGATATACACAAATAATATAATTGAAATTAAAGTCTAAAATCAAAGTTAAAATGATAAGTAACAGAATATTAAATTGGATCGGAATGATACGCGTTATGCGATATCTCAGGGTCAACTGAGACAAGGCACGAATATGGGTACCTTTAGATACGCACGCAATTACAAACAACATTTTTCTCCCACCCCAAATCCATATATGATCACACATATAAACGTATTAAATATACTACATCGCATTATAATATTTAAATCGTTAATTAAGTTCAAATAAATATTTGTCATTTAATTGCATCTAAAATCAAGTTAAATTATTATTTTATTAAATCAATGATATTTATTGTAATTGGTATATGTTATAAAACTAAAAAAAAGAGCAATTGTGTGGGAAAATAACAGAAACAATGGCGTATTTTAATAATCTTTCTATTCTCTCTTTTAAATTTTTCGCGAATAATTATGAACGAATATGAGGAAAGTAGGTCGCTCGAATTTAATACAAAATTAGTTAGTATTTGCGTTGATAAATGCAATGACGAATTTATCGGCTATGGGAATGAATCAAATGTTGTTTAAAATGCTATTTAAAATGTTAATTTTGTTAACAAACTGTTTATCGAGATTTTTCTTGACGGCTCTCAATACGAAGGATGAGAAGGTAAAAGAAGAAGGGAAGTAAGTAGATTAATAGTTGGAAATTTCGCGAGGTAGGAGATTAATCGTTCCTTTCGTGATAGAAGAAAAGTTCACTCACTCTCTCTCTCTTTCTCTCTCTCTCTCTCTCTCTTATCAAAGTTGTTCATATCGAAAACTCTTGATAAACGTATGTCAGCCATTCATCAGTCCTGACACGTACGACGGTGCTTCGGACGAACGATTTCATCGTCTAAACTCATAAAAAGGAATAAAAAGAAATTTATACGGAAGAATCCGAATGATAGTCATGGCTTTTGATAAAGAAAGGAACGATCGTGTCGCGATTCATTGATATGAGAAACATCAAAAAGAAGGAAGGAAGGAAGGAAGGAAGGAAGGAAGGAAGGAAGGAAGGAAGAAAGAAAGAACGTGGATAACAGAAAAGTGAAGATGATGATGTACATGAGAAAAAGGTATATATATATTATATTATATAAAAAGAGAGGGAGTTGGGATAAGATAGGAAAGTCGTAAAGGTATAACGGAAGAAGCCGTACGATAGGGATATAAGAGACTACTATGGTACCTAGAGAATGGCCAGCGAGTGTTACAAGCACTAGGACTACAACGATGAAGACGGGTATGGGCCGTAGTGTAATAGTGCTATACCGTGCTGGAAGCGACTGAGGAATCAATATCATGCTGTGCACCCTTGAGGGGTTGCTTCCCTTCGTCGTGCACCAGTCAAAGGCTTTCCTATATAGGTATTTGTGAGCTCAACACGTATATATGAATAGTCACGGATGTAAGTACTAGATACTTATGTGTGCTAACCTACTACACATGTACCTTTACACATATACATATATATCTATGTCTGCGTATGTATATATTGGCGTGTATTTGTATAGATCTATCTACATGCATCTACGTATAGAAAGGATAAGGTTGACTGGAATTTTCACAATTTCGAACACTCGATAAGGTTCAACGGTAGTGTGTAATAAATATCAGAGTTAACGCAGTGCCCGATATGTTCCAACAAATTCGAGAAGAGAAAGAAAGAGAAAGGTAAAGAGAAAGGTAAAGAGAAAGGTAAAGAGAAAGAGAGAGAGATAGAGAGAGAAAATGAGAGCACGAGTGGTAGCTACGATAAAGGTGTTTTAGTACCGGATCAATTTCGATGAAAAGGTACACGATAAAGTTTGCGGAGGAATGGATACTATGCTTTTCCAAGCGAGTATCGATCGATACCAATCTCGTGTGCATGATCATTCGATTAAGTCGATCGAGTTAGCTTTGAAATCACAGTGATTATGGTAATGGTAGTGAACATGTTACTTTGAATCAATCCTGTCACGTGTTATTTCGAAGGACGAAGAAAGAAGTATCGTTTTTCCTTGTACTTCGGAGTGTTACTTTCCATATTGATGGATATTCAACGTCTCTTTCTTCCATCGAATAATACGTTCTCCCTTAAACCAGCTTATCTCCCTTTTTTCTTTCTTTCTCTCTCTCTCTGTTTTTCTGGTATAATCTTGATTTCTCTGGAGACCAGGAAATCTGATTGATTGAGATACGTCATTGAAGTTATCTACAAATGAGAACATTTTACTTTTAACACCATCGTTGAATAATAATTTAATGATTTTATTTTTTTCTTTGCTTTTTTTTCTTTGAAAGAGACCTTGACAATTTTTATAAGATCCTTGATATTTTTATTTTGGAATTTAAAAATTAACATTTTTCTTACAAAACAAAGTTTTTAATTCGCGTTTATCATCGTTATGCATGCATCTTTCAATTTTCTAATTGTAAGACTCTCCACGAGCAAAAGTAGATTCCGTTGAACGAATGTGTAGAATCAGCTAGGGAGGACGTAATGGGGTCAAGAAAGCCAAATCCGTGGGGGGAGATGGGACGGACAACGTAACCGATGAAGTCGCTAGTTAACCCTTTGAACTCGTTTGTCACACTGAAGGTAACAATAGAGATTTGCTAGAAAACTCTTATGTCACCTTTGAGATAACAACAATAATCATTTGTTCTTATAACAGAACGAGTATTTTTTTTTTATTATATTAGAAACTTTAAGACGAAAAATATATTTATGTATAACTTTGTTTTTTTTTTATTTGCTTACAAAAAATTAGACATAAGGAAAACAATATATTTATCTGTGTTTTGTATAATCGCCAATAATCCTAATTAAAAATAAATAAATGTAATAAACGTAAGAACATTGGCCAAAAAAAGAAAAACGAATTTAAAGAATTAAAGAAAGTCACTTAAGGTACCATAAACAAAATAAAAAATAATAGGCGTTTTTTCTTATCTTCTCGATAGGAAAACGTGAAAGGAAAAAGGGAAAAGAAAAGCACAATAGAATAAAAAGAAAACAAAAAGAAGAAGAAAAATAAAAAAAAGAAGGAGATCGAAAAGCTGGATCATCTGGTGCTTCGCTTCGTAGAAGGAAATTGTTGTTAAAAGGATTTGTTCCAGCATCCTTCCTTTTTATCGTTCGCGCCTTATCCCAATAGCAATTAAGGAAATTTTCTTCGTCTTGGAAACGATACTTTCTCCCTTCGATCTATCCTATTTCTCCACTCTTTTCTTTTCCATCTTTTTTTTCTTTCCTTTTCTTTTCTTTTAGTTTCATTTCTTTCGTTCGTGCTTTTCTTTCACCTTAAAAGCGAAAGACGGATGCCCCGTTGTCGGTGTATCACTTTAAACTCGAAATTAAAATACACATCCGTCGAAACTTTATCCTACCTTTCTTTTTCCTTCTTTCTTTTCGTTTTTTCTGTTTCTTTTCATTCCCGTGAACCAACCTTTCTAGTGAATAGAAGAGATTCGTCGGACAGTAGAGAATAAACGTACGAAAATTCGTTTTCAGTTCATTCAGTTAGTTTCGTTCAAGTAGATATGAAAATGATTATTATTTCGTCCTTTTGAAAATCATTTTAAATCCCTACAAACGATCCAATATTTCATCCTACGCGATATAAAGAGAGTTGGTAATAATGGATGATACCATGGCAAACGATAACAATTATTCGCCAAACGATATGACGAATCCTCGTGAGCACACAATGCGTGTCCACGTACTTGTTACTCTAATTATCCCGCATTTCATATTATAATTTATGAGGACACGCTTTCTATATATATATATACACATACATATTATTAAAGGACAAATATATAAATTCGTGTATGAAAATTCTACGTTTGGTTGGACCGAAAATTTCTAAAACATACATTATCAAAAATATATTTTTTCTTTTTCATTTTATTTCAATTCGATGTTTGCTTTGACACGGATTATCGAATTTAATTTTATTCCTAAGAAAGTGGTTATCCTCGTTTTTATAGAAAATGTCAACACGTTTAAAAAAGAGGTTGATTCGCATGGAAATTCAATGTTTTAACATTACAAGTAAAACGATAACGACGATGACTATGGCTATGACTATGACTATGACGACGACGACGACGACGACTACGACGGCCAGGCCAAGCTAAAGAGAAACTTCAATTCACAAACGAGATTTTCAGAATACAATCGCTAAATGGCAGTATGCGTACCTTCGGCTTCAACAAAGTACAGTCGTATCCCGAAGGTACAACGTGCAATTTACTAACGCCAAAGCACTCCGAGGGAAAGCAGTTGAAGTACCGACAAACGTAAAGGGTACTCTCTCTACTTTCCCCCACCCCACCTCCCACTCTCTCTCACTCTCTTTGTAAACTCGGTTTCAACGAAGATATCGCACGCTTACCAACGTATAATATACTTCTCTCTTTTCCCTGTTTACACGCACTCTCACCTATTAACGCATACACACACACACACATAAAAATAATGTCATAAGAGAGAGTATGTTAACCAAGCGAAGAAGGATGACGAATTTTAAAAAACGGTTTACCGCACGAAAATCAAACGCTAACGAACTTGACGCTTTTTGTTCTCTCTTTTTTTTTATTTTTCCGTTGAAAGGTACACGTTTCAGAAGCAAACGTCGAGAGGACTCGACGCGAAAAGTACATAAAAAATTTGGTACAACTACATTTGTTAATATTATTATTATTATTATTATTATTATTATTATTATTATTATTATTATTTGAAACAGAAGAGCTTTTGATTTTACTAGATATTTCATCTATATCAAATATCGGTGTGTAAGTATTTTACGTTAACAAAAGTCGTCATAATTTAACTCTCGGTTAGATTTATTAATTAAAAATATTATACATTACGGGAAAAGATTTTGATAGAGTATCAGGCAAGTTGAATGGATTGTTTGTTGGTTGAGAGAAATAATAAAAAAAAAAAACATTCTCGAAGATTTATCTTGCTTAAAACTATAATGTGAAGGGAAGATAGGAAAGATCGTTCGCAGACACGATTAAAGTTACGTGATGAGTCGTCGACGATAGAACCATATACCGGGGCCACTACTAACATCTAACTGCTAGCCAAGGGGGATACATAAAATTAAATAAAAGAGACATAATGAAAAAGTAGGCGGTAACTGGAAAAGAAGCGAAATCTCAACTTCCGTCGACAATCATAAACCGTCCGCAGCAGCATCCGTGTTCCTATACCTTGCACGTTCTTCCTTCTTTTTATTTCTTTCGTTTTTTCTTTTTTTTTTCTTTCTTTTTTTCTCTCTCTTTCTCTCTCGCCTAAGACTTTTTCATCCATTCGGAAGTTTTTCGTAAAGTTTACGAACGTTGCCCCGACGAAGAAAGCCACTAACGCTTTTAAAAGATTCCCTACGACAATCTTTTTAAGAGACTGTTATTTATTGGGTCAGTATTTTTCTATCTTATTTCCTTTTATTTTCCCTTTTATTTTATTTTCTTCTCTAACTACTTCAAATCAATGGTTAAGATTTATAATAATATATTTATATGTAGGATGCGTGTGATTTGTAATTACATCGATTAATACTGCTTTTAAATAATTATTTATAGTACTTGTGGGATTAATATTTGTTAACGTTTACGTATTCAATATTTTTAAAACATTCTTATTTAATATTTGAAATAGTTGTTAAATATTTATTTTAAAATATTAGTATGTAATCTAAATTAATATGTAACATTGATGCAACTCTGAAAATAATTCTAATTCAACAATGATATATTATTAATATTAATTATCTATTTAAAATATCGATAAATTATTATTTATATCAAGCAAAATATTCATTTACGCTAATCATTAATTTTACAAAATACTAATTGAATAAATAGATGTTTCTCTAATATACGTGTACATATCATCGGATTATTTGATATTTAATATACAAAACAAAAGTTTTTTTTCCGACTCGATATATTTTCTTGAAAATTATACATGCATGCTTTTTGTTTATTCATCAGCCGTGTTCCCTCAGTCAATAATATTCACGATACAAATATATATATGCAATCCATCACGAAAGTTAATAAAAATTTAAATTCCTACTTTTGAGATTTCTTAATCGATTATTCATAAGGTATCGAGATACGATAAGTCGCTTTAAGATATTCTTTCGATATCTTTTCTTCGCAAGCAGCAGATTGATCGACCGATTCCAGTGGCACTTCTCCACTCTTCGTAAATTCTTTCCATCTTCCCCTCTCCCTTCTTTTCACTTTTTATTAAATCTCTTCCTTCTTTCGTTTTCCTATCGTCCAACGTCTAAAAATCGTCTAGTGAAATTTCGTCATGTTACGTACGACGAAAAAAAAAAAAAAATCAAATATTCCCGTCGAGTTATTTTGTGAGAATTTTCGAAAAATTTTCCAATAAAAAAGTTCTCCACGACAACACGCAACCTACAACGAACATTTTAAAAGATCGTTAAACATCGCAACATTATTTTACCGCTTTCCTATAAATTTCGGTTTTCTACGCAACATAAAAATATCTTATGGTATAACGGACTTTGGGGGATGATCATAAAAAAATTCTTATCTACACGTCTCCTCGTGGTGCCAACCCACACAAATATCATAATATAACTAAAAATAAACTAAATCGGATATCGGATCGATATTGAATTGAAAAAAGTCAAAATTGACAAAGAAGAACATTCCCGTACGGAATTCGATTAGTTTTCAACGTAAACGCACAACTAGAATTCGGATCAAGTACAACAAGAATAACATTCATGGGTATTTATTTCTCTCTTTTTCTTTTGTGAAGTTCCTCGGGAACACGCCTACGCTCGATATTCGCTTATTTAATTTCCTGCTGAACCCAACGCGCCCGAGTATTGCAATGAAAAAGAAAGAAAGAAAGAAAGAGACAGATACAAAAATAAAAACATTGCATTATCTATACATACAACACCTCCCTCTCCTTCCCCCATCAACCCCTCTACTCATGAACAAGAAACATATGTGTGATATTGCTATTGAGAGGTGCATTGTATGGTGCAAAAGTCCGTTTCCAATGGAATAATTAGATTCAAGGCCAAATGGGACAATAGCTTGTCCACTTAAAGTGGTCTTGCCCGGATGCACGCAACGTTTTGCTTCGAGCCTGACTAAGCACCTACTCTACTCGTAAGCGCAAACTCGTTCCTCGTGTCTACCACCACCACCACCACCACCACCACCACCACCACCACCACCACCACCACCACCACCACCACCACCACCACCACCACCAACCACCACTTCCTCCTCAGTTAGGTTTTCTGCTTTCGGTGCTTTTCTCGCGAACACTCAACCATATTCCCTTTTTTTCTTTTTCTCACACTCGAGTCTTTTAATCCAAAATTCGTAGTCTAAAAATATTGATCTTGAAATTTTGCAGGGGAATATCTTTCTTCTAATTTTGTCCTATAAAAAATATTGCCAATTCCTTTTTTTTATTTGAGAGTTTTATTTATTTGTTTTTATGTAATCCTAATTTGTAGACGAAAAAAAGGTTTACCTTGAAATATTTGCAAAAGTTACTATCATTCTTTTAATTTTATCCGATTAGATATAATAATTCGATTATATTGCAATTTAAATAATGCATCAATTATTTTTCTTACTAATTATCAAATTTTTATGTAATATTAAAGTACTAATTGAAAAAAAAACAAAACAAAAAATACATTTCCTAATAAATAAAAGTTCCGCTTAACGTACGATGAGAATGTGACACAGTAAGAAATAATATTCATATGCACAAGTACGATAGATCGATGATAAAAAAGAAAAAAAAAGAAAAGAAAATTGATAAAAGAGATAAGGAAGTATCGATAAAGAGATTAAAAAGAGAGTTACTACGATAGGGAACGATTACATTATAAGATCGAACTGTCGAGTTTTCTCGCGAAGTAGATACGACATGGAAAAAAGCCAAGAAAGAAGATATGCAAATGGAGAAAACGAGGGTGGGACGAGGACGACGAATTAACCGGATATCGGCCGACTAATGGATATTAGAATTCTCTCTTAAGTATTACATTCATTTTCCTTCCTTTAGACTACTGACTCAACCCACACCACATCTTTTCATAACTTTAATATTATATATGCTTTTGACGAATTCATCATTTCTCCAAACTTCTTTTCTTCTTTCTTTTCGTTTTTATATATTATATATTTCTTATTCTACACGAAAAATAATAATCATTAGCGAATAAAAATTGTATAACAAAAATATTTGAGTTGAATATTCAAAAGATAAAATTGTTTGATACCTATGAAGCCTGACGAATGCATAGGTGTGCCGGGGTTTATCTCGAAAACTTTGATGCAAATTACCTGGAACAGAAAATAAAATCGATCGATTAGAAATATAAATAAAGTCACATTTTTTGTATTTTTACGTTCTAGGCCATTTTATTTTTCTTTTAGCCTGTAATATTTTTCTCACCTAAGGCTTATGTCATGTAATCCGATATAATTTTATTACTTAAACTAAAGAAACATTACAGACATTTCTCACGTACAGTAGTATTGTTCACAAGTAAAAATTACGCATAATCTTAAATAAACATCCTGAAAATTTCGCATTTATTATAATTCTTAAGAAATATACTTGACTTTACTCCTAGAAGGTATATTCTTTTGTAATTCTTTAAACCAATGAACCTTGTAGGTGTCAATGAACTATCCACTACGGAACTAATTGTAAGTTTTATATCCTGCAAACTGATTCGATGCAACAAAGTAATTGGTCTAAAAAATAGAAGTAGGAAACATTCGATATTAATGTTTTATAATTATTTAACCATAAGAAAAAAAATCAAATTCTTCTTGTACAATTAGAAGTTTGTGATTGATTTTTTTAAATCATTTTTCATTAAATTTTATCAAACTATGTCAACTTAGGTTGATATGTTTTGCATACAATTTGACATTAAAATAATTAAATATAAAAATGATCGAGGATGATATTATATACGTTGGATTGAAAATGGTGATAATAATTGATATGATACATGGTACAAACGTCACTTACAGAGTACTCGAAATGAAAAGAAGATAGCAAAAAGAATGAGAGAGAAAGAGAAAGAGTTGCGAATGAATACTGACGTTTGCCCTACACGGTCATTAAGACGATAATGGACGGTAATTAGGTGCGGTGAAATTTACCTCCGAATCCAGCAATTAACGTGGTGGTCCTTCTCCAAGGAAACTAAGGGAATAACTACTACGAGTAAAAAGAGAGAAAGAAGAAGACGAGAAAGAGAAGGAGGAAGATGAGGATGAGGATGAGAATGAGGGTAGAAGAGTAAAATGAACGAACGAGAGTGGACCAACTCTGAGTGTTAAATCCAAAGAGGATAGGGAGTAGTAGGTAGCAGAGGAAACGTCCATGCTGCAAAACTACAGGACTGTGGCAGCTGTTAAATGTAATTTGACATTACGAAAGTTATGTTGTGCGAGGAAAGCACGTGACGTCTCTTTCCGTTGACCTACTTGTAGGTCAAATAAAAAAGAAAAAAATTAAAACAACAGAGAGAGAGAGAGAGAGAGAGAGAGAGAGAGAGAGAGAAGGAGAAAGACCAATCCGTAGCGCTTCGCAAATAAATTATCCTTTAAAAACAAATCTCAATTATACTTGACATTTAAATATGAGATATCACGAGAGAGAGATTCGTACAAAACATAATTTCTTTTGTATTTTTAACGAGTATAGATAATTATCGTAGAAATGACACTACTCCTCCCCTCTCCCCAACCCAAGGAAATATATCTCATCAATTTATTGTAATAGAGAATAAAAATAAAACATTGTAATCTAATGAGAAAAAGAGAGATTACGTTAATCTCCCTGAACCCACCGATCGAATTTTCCAGGCCTATTTATATTCATGTTCGAACGAACACACGACAGATTTACGCATGAATCGACCCGCCACAAAATAGCTCTATTCTCGTGTTAGTATCGATGCTTAATTAACGGTATCGTTAGTTTTCGATGATCCGGAGTTACGTGAAAATTACACTACGAGCTGCCTTAAGCGATATAGCGTTTATATATGTGTGTGTGTATATATGTATGCGGAATATGGGCACACCTGCGACCATAAATGGCGTATGTTGATGGTTCCTCTATCTCAATAATATTTCTAAGTAACATCGATACGATAAGCCAATGATGATATCTAACTTGTTGGTTGTGTGGTTTCTATACAATATAATAACATTGAAAATAATTTACATGAATAATTTCATTATATTATCGTTTTAATTATTAATTATTAGTACATTTGTTAAAATGCTAATCTAACTGACATTGGAAGAATAATGACAGATGAAAAGAGGAAATTGGGCCGCGTGAAAAGCAAACAATTCCCACCACGTGGAATTTATGCTCGTACGAAGAGGGAACCTTCACTACGTTAAATTTATAGCCTCAGTCTCTTGTTACGTACGTGCGTACCGTGAAACGTAATTTATTATTAGACTATTTCGAAGATCGATGAGATTGATAAAAACGATGAAAAAAGATATGATATTAGATCATACCAATGTCTCGTATTTATTAATGAGAAAAATATCAACGATTTTAATGATAAGTGACTTTTAATTACACAGCTTTTAATAACTTGAAAGGAAGAATTTCGAAAACGAATATATATATTAAGTAGATTCATCGGACGTGGTAGCGTGTAACGGAGAGCGTATGAAAAGACAATGAAATTCAAGACGACCTCGAGGATGTATTCCGCTCTTGACAAGAGAAAGAGAAAGATATATAGAACGAGAGAGTGTTCTTCTAGCAGACGAGTTATAAAAGGCAAGGCGGGTTAACGGACGCGAGAGAGAGAGAAGATTAGAGAGAAAGAAAAAGGAAAGAAATACTCCAGTAGTAGTAGTAGTAGAAGAAGAAGAAGAAGAAGAAGAAGAAGAAGAAGAAGAGAAATAAGACGCCAGGAAATTTTCTCAGACGGCTCGTAGTAGGAGGGCGGGCGGCTTTCGTTCCGTGAAAAATCTTGCGTCTCGAGAATTATCGTAAAGTGGGTTACTCGTTCCGTGAGAAGCGTGAAAGGGTGAAAGGTGAAGGAGAGAGAAAGAGATAAGATAGAGGATAGTGAGAGTAAAAGAGAGAGAGAAAGAGACAGAAGGGCGAGTAAGGTCGTGTTCACGATGAGAGAGAAGGGAGGAAAGGAAAGTGCTACTGAAAAATAAAACGATGCCGTGCCTCTTATATTCGCCTTGAAGAAGGAGAAAACGATAGAGGCGAACAAATTTTCTTCATTTTTAAAAAGTCTAGGAAAATTCTCAATTACATTTGTGAAAGAATCCTTTGCGTGATCTTTTTTTTATTTCTTTTTTTTCTATCTAACATGTAATATTTAATAGTTAGAAATATTAGGTCAGTTAAGTAGCGATTAGATAATAAATTAATATAATTTTGTTCTTTAATGAAAGCATAATGCATGTAAATGTTTGATACAATAAAACATGGAAATTATTTATGAATCGATCTAATAATATATTCGAATTTTTGATTGACGTTCCAATCACATTGACTGCTAATTTAGTAATATTTAGTAATATTAAAATAAACATTTACATATAATTGATCAATATTTAGAATAATATTTTAAATACATTTTGTATTGAATAAAATATTAACATGCAACCCTGGTTTCTATTATAAACTATAACTAATATAATAAATACAAGAATATAAAAAGTTTATAAATAAAAAAGGAAAGACAAGATGAAAGACAAATATATCGATTGATGATGAGTCTGCAAAGTTGTCGAAAAAAAGAAAATTTCTTCTAGATTTTTTTTTTACTGAAAGAATCTCGTCTCGAGGATTGTTCTCTTAAAGCACGTCGTTGGTTGGCGTGAGAAAAAAAGAAAGAAAAGTGAGAGCCAGAGAGAGACAGATAGAGAAATGAAAAAAGAGAGGTTTAGAGAAATAGGGTGAAAGGTAGAAACGATGAGGAAACAGAAAGAAGACGGTCGATGAGAAGAAGAACGTTTGAGAACCGAATTCGATGTCGTTTCCTCGTCTTTACACGGTGCGGTGAGTATGCATACCCCTCTTCTCCCTTTCTTTTTTTCTTTCTCTTCCTCTTTCTCATCCTCTTTCATCCTTTTTCTACTCATCTCGAAGCCAAGCGCAACCCTCGAGCAAGTCGGAATCCACAAACCCTTCAGTTTGGAATAAGCGACACGACGAAAGAAGAGAATCGTATTTTATGAGGGGTATGCTTGCTTCTGATCAAAAAAAAACCCATTCCGATGTATCTTTCTTTTTCTATATCATTCTAACTATATATTAGGTATAGGTAACTATATAGTAGGTTATAGTAACTAATACGTGTGTGCTTGCAAATCCTTATCTTCTTCTTACTGATAATGACAAAAATTCTCCTCTTTTTTTTCCTTCGAATAATTAAATACTTTTTTCTACTTATGACAAAGTATTATACAAGGAAGGATTTTTAAATAATTTGTAATTTTGTACTATATAAATAAGAATAAAGACATCATCATAAAAACATTTTTTTATTTAAAATCAATACATTTCAAATAAAGTGTTTGTAATTCGAAGAATAAAGTTCTTTTTTAAATTTATATTATTTAATTATATTCGTAAATGAGTTTCGTTACTATATTAAAATACATTTTTCTGAATATAAATACTTATATTTAAATATTTTGTGTAAAAAGTGTACTATCAAGAATAACGAAATGTATATATTACATGATACATGTACCATTAGTGTATTATAAATCATTTTCAAAAGTTTTTTTCCTTATTCTTAGAAGTTTTAATTGCCAAATATCTTGTAATTATTTTATTATTAATTATTGAAGCACACACACACACACACACACACACACACAGTATGAATAATATTTATACATACAGTATTATTGAATAAAATAATATAAAATACAAAATATTGTTCATATAAAAATAAGAAAAGTTTTATACGTGTGTTTATAATGATCTATAAAACTGTCTGATTTCTTCGAGCTTAAAGGAGTTATAAAAAAAGAAAAAAGTATACTAAGATTGATATGTTCCAGTAGTTGGACTCACGAAGGAGGAGAATTTAAAGAAGAAAAAAGAAAAGAAAAAAAAGAAGCATCCAGTACTACAACGTAGCGAGAAAAAACGTCGCATAGGGAAGAATGCGGCTACGAGGAAAGTAAGAAAGCGTTCGCGTGCATTGGTGCGCGCTGCACTTCTGCCTGGCCCTGAATGCACCGAGCCAGCGATTACTCGGATTGTATGTACATATATATATATATATATATATATATATATACATGCATATATATAT